GGCGCCTTCGTCCAAAGTGTGATCTTTGAAGTAGATGGTTTCTTGCTCCTTACTTTATACCTACAATCAGATAAAATAATCTCGGTAAAAGTTGATTAAGAAATATTGGCGCTCGTTAGTATGCAATTGTAAAATAATGTAAATTGAAAGTTAATGAATGAACTTGAATGGGCTATATTCTATTTATGGGTTTACCATGGAGGGGTTTATAAAATAAGGCTAACTTTAATTGGACTTGAACTTTATAAATGAATATTTTTCAAATGTCAATTAATAAAAAGTATCGTAATATAGCTGTTAAAAAGTTTATCAATCAGTCCTCTAATCGATTCTTTCGTTACTTGGGCATTGGGCAACAACACAATTAACCGGATTTATCCGAGAATGAAGAAAAGCTCTTCATTAGTCCAGCAATAAGTTTTCGAACATTTAGTAATAAACATTGAATTGCTTTATTTTAATGGAAATTTTCTGTATCTAGTTTGCATGCTTTTACATTAATATACCTAATTTAGTCGTTTTTTCGATAAAACATGCAATACAGTGTGAACCCACTCTTATTTAATCGGCCCTTTGCATCTGCTGAAACCCTTTTCACTGCTTCTGAAGTCGACAGTAAACTGATTAACGCTTCTGTTAATCGCTAAATGAGGTAACTTGGTCACTGAAATATAACTTTGATGGCTCTTTTTGTGAATAGAAACGAATTAAGATAAGTCGAAAAGCTGCGAAACGTTGAATGAAATGAATGATTGAATCCTATTTATAATTTGTGCCTCGTATTTATAGAAATTCATTTAACTGGTTCGCGTTGGTTATTAATATAAAAGTCATGAGTCATTAATAAATTACAAGGAAAAACATCCAAGTGTGAATCGGACACACAGGTAAAAGATTCCTTAATACGAAGTCCATACATATTAGAAAATTAGATCAGATAGCACAAAAATGTCGATAAATTATGTTTATCGCATGGAAAAGAGTCTCTATTTTTTAGGAACGAATTTCCTTTTCGGACGGTACGGCAAATGGGCGCTAGGCCACGGTAATATTATCTTATTACCGTGGCTAGGCGATTAATTTGTAGATTTTTCCGTCACAACCTAGCGCTAGCTAGGCATCTGTAGGTAAACGGATGAGAACGGTGTCCGTGAGAGGTGTGGGCGGAAGGCACATTTTTGTCAAAATTACAAGTGTCCGCCGCCCGCAACTCTCACGTATCCCGTTCTCGTCCTTCCCACACCTTTTACCCCGCAGGCGAGGACTCAGTTAAGCGGTCTTCCTATAGATGGACAGCTAGGTAGGCGACCACTGTCAACGGTGACTGTGGACTTGGTTTAAAGTTTTGTTTAATAGCATAATTTGACGGAATCGGAGTATCGGGCCATGACCCACCATGCGGTTCCAGTGCGAATTGGTGGGTAGGAACATTTATTTTATAGAATAGGGAGATTGGGCCATGAATTGCCACGCGGGCAAAATTGCGGATTGGTGGGTGGTATATATTTTTTTATCTTTGGACCAGAGTAGTCTGCAAGTCACACACAGTTTTTTTTTATGCGTAGGTTTTTATATTCCATTTAAATTAATTATTGGTTGTTACAGCAGCACCAGAAATACACATTATGTAAAAAAATCTGCTGTTTATAATTCGGTCTGATAACAGATAGAAGGACTGCCTGCGAAGATGGTCGCGTAGTTTTATCCATAGTAAAATTTGACTATAATTAATGTCACGTCACAATAAATAATAAACGTGGCACATTTTTAATGGTTATTTTATCTCTAGTATTTTATCTGGGAGGAGCTCGATGGCGCAAGTGGTTAGCACGTTCGGCTGCGATCGTTGAAATTAAGCAACTGTCGCAGTGGTCGGTCATTGGATGGGTAACCAAAAAATTTACTATCACGAGCTCCTCCGTGCTTCGGAAGTCACGTTAAGCCGTTGGTCCCGGCTGCATCTGCAGTCATTAGAACCCACCAATCGCCACTGGGCCCGCGTGGTGGATCATGGCCTAAACTCCCTATTCTATCCATAGGGAAGGCCTGTGCCCCAGCAGTGGAGACATTAATAGGCTGATGATGATGATAATGATGATGATTTTATCTAGTATTTTTCAGCTGGATGCGAGTAGCCCAAGATCGATCTGAGTGGCGTGCATTTGGAGAGGCCGCTATGTCCAGCAGTGAACTAAGATGGGCTGTTGATGATGATGATTATTATTATGACTATAGTCAAATTTAACTATAGATGAAACAACGCGGTCAAGTAATAGGGTATCGTTGTCCCCGTTAGATACGGCATTCTAAACACTACGTATTATTCTAGTTATACTTATCTCTAAAGCCGGGTACTCATTAGCGAGCTGTAACCGTAACCGTTGCATGCACTGTAACCAAAAAGCATAGTGTGTACGTGATTCGCTAACGTGCTGCGAGCGGTACCTGTGCGGTATGCAGCGAGCCGACGTTTACAGCTGAGCTACAAGCGTACACACTAGCACCTCGTACTGTATCACGCATGTTACGGTTGCCACTCGCTAATGAGTACCCGGCTTAACACAAATAATATAAAAAAATCTCTAATCAGAGCAATCTCCCATTATTTTATCATCAATAACCACGACCACAAAACGTCGCCACCGGTTTATTTCTTGTAGTTGTCATACATTTTATATAGACTCGCCACACATGGTACGCCGGTGGCCGCCACACGCTACGAATCGTCGTTGCTCGCTTCTTGTGGCCCGCATCGGCCACTTAATGCGTCGATACAAAACGCCGCCACACGTCACTCGCGCGATTCCCCACCCCTCTCTCCCTTATCTTATTTAACCTGTAGCAGCCACCGACGGCAAGTGTCGACCACCGGCCACGAGTGGCTTCTAGCTGCACGTGGCGGCATTTGTGGCTGTGGCGTGTGGCCCGTGTTCGGCGACACTTATAGATTCAAAATTCAATATCATTTATTCAGTCTAGGCTGTTACAAGCACTTGTGAATGTCGAAAAGCTACGCCATCGGTTCGCAAATCTACGGCGGGAGACCTTGTACTGAGAAGAACCGGCAAGAAACTCAGCAAGGGCTGTTTTTTTCTCCCTGTATTATATACAGAGTCGTCAATTTGAAAAATGAGTTCAATATGAGATAACCCATGAAGTCACTTTTCATTACAAATGTAAATGATAAAACAATTATGACTATAAAATAAAAAATATAAAAAACAGATTTAAAAATGAAAAAAAAGTTTAGGAATGCCGTGTCCCACTGTTTAGGCATAAAAACAAATGTACCATTAAAGTTATATACAACGATTAATAGTACCCAATGTAGCAAGAGCAGACTCATCTCCGCTGGCAGCACCCGTTCACGAGCATGACGCATGAAACAGCCATCGCTTCGCTCAACCATTTTTTAGGGAACGTAACGACCCGCCTCACACGACACCGCCGAAGAGATTTTTAAGAGAGTATGACTACCCATAACCACATATGGATACTAGGTAGCAAAATAGGGGGAAAAAAAAAATTAAGTACCAGTGTACATTACTATAAAAACTATAAACACAACTGTAGGACACACGCATGTGGTTACCTAAACACTAGTGTCGACTCTGCCACTACCCTCCAAACCCAAAACCAAACCCAACATCAGTGCCCCCCCTTCACTCTGTATAGAGAATGACAAGGATACACCGCTGCAAAACCAAAGTTCAGGTCTAGAGAACCATGCCAGAATCCACACCACCATTAAATCTTTATCTCAGAAATAATAAATGTTCACCTAAATTTTTTGTTTCTGATTGCTGTGCCATACAGTATAAATACAATTACAAATAAAATTTAACTTAATTATATAATTAATTATCATTATAATAATAATAAAGTAGTATAGAGCAGACTCATCTCCGCTGGCAGCACCCGTTCACGAGCATGACGCATGAACCAGCCATCGTTTCGCTCAACCATATTGTAGGGAACGCAACGACCCGCCTCACACGACACCGCCGAAGAGATTTTTAAGAGAGCATGACTACCCATAACCACTCACTTTCCACCTATCACTTTGCCCCCATAGGCTTTATAATTTCAGAGCTGTGTTTTCACTTGCTTATGAAGAGCCCTACTTACCTATCTGTTTATCCAGCAATAGTGTGAGTAATTTTCCAGGTTTCTACGGGGTTGGGGATTTTGGCAGGGTAGGCAGCGGTGCGAGTGATATTTTTGGTATCGCAAGCGTCTATAGACTATGGTGGCCGCCTAGTATCGCCGCACACCGGCCACACGCCACAGCTACAGACGCCGCCACGAGAAGCTCGATGCGGCTACTAAAGTGGCTGAAACGCGCGACAGCGGCCGACTAAGGTAAAGGAGAGAGGGGTGGGAAATCGCGCGAGTGACGGATGTGTGGCGGCGTTTTGTATCGGGCGCATTAAGTGGCCGGTGCGGGCCACAAGAAGCGAGCAACGACGATTTATAGCATGTGGCGGCCACCGGCGTACCGTGTGTGGCAAGTCCATATAAAATGTATGAAAACTACAAGAAATACGCCGGTGGCGGCGTTTTGTGGTTGTGGTCGGTGGCCCGTGTGCGGCGACACTTAGCATCAGACGGGCGGCTAATAATTTTTCAGTACATGATTTACGAAGGTACTATGTTTAGTTCTATTTTAGATAGGTATTACTATTATACCTATTTAGATACCTGAGAATGTATGAAGACGTGAAAAATATTTACAAGGCAAATAATAGATGTATAGCTCGTGATAACCATCGCTCGTGCTACAAACAAACATACAGTGATAACATTTTACTATCGCAATTATAAGCGTAGTTATTTGAGGCCCGTAACTCTGCAGAAACGCATGTTCGGATCGGGGTTTATAATTCGATGTCACGTATACAAAATAAGAAGAAAACTACTTAACAACTTTTTTTGGATTTAGAAAAATCTTCTTTACAGAAAAATCGTTAGTTGTTTTTTCAAAAATATCAAGTTTTTAGGGTGAAAAAATGTGACTGTACCTAGTGCGATTAGTATTTAGACATAATCCGATACGGAAGTGGTTTTGCAGTGGGTGTGAATTGAAGCGCAGAACAGGGTGCGCAGTGTCGTTACGTTCGCACCCTTATAAAGGGATGTTAGAGTGTAACCATTCACAAGCTTTCCGACGAGCACGTTACGCGCAGTCCGAGTGTCACGGCGACAGCGCTAAAGTTCCGATACTTTGTGAAGTGCACAGTGACAACACAATATGAAAGGGTTCCTATGCTTCGTACTCACCGTTCTGTTAAGCGACGGCATCAACTGCCTGCTTCTACCGGTGAGTATAACTAGTTTATCACTTGTTTCAGTTGAGAGTTTTCTTTTGTAGTTTTAAAAGTTGAACACTTTGATCGTGGAGGAAACGAAAAACTTAGATAGTACTTCTGTACACTTGTTGGTTGGTGTACAGCGAAACTTTTCGGGTTTGCGGTAAAGAAATTTCGGTGAACTTTCGTCAGCAGTTTTGAGATGAAAGGTAAAATGATTGGATTCATTCGTTTCGAATTGTATAGCTTTTCGTGAAAGATTTGCGAAGTGTACGAATAATAAAAAATCTTTTTAGTCTTTGAATAATCAGTTAATGGATTTCGTATCAAAAGGGTGCCATCTGAATCCTTTTACTAAGCTTCTGTAACGCAAACAGTTACAATGTATTTCATAGAATTTGATTTCTATGATATTGGCGCTACAACAAAAATAAAATAATAAGCAAAAAAATTATAACATTTCTCCACATACATGAATCGTGATTGTTTCGACGTTAAAGCAAATCCTTGTGCTATATTGCAAAAAAGAATCTGTTATTACGAGTATTAAGTATAAAAGTCCCACTTTTTTTCTAGTAAAAAAAATCCTAAGATTTAAACATCACCAGTTAAATGCTTAAACAATTTAAATATAATTATAAAAGTCCCGTTTTCAATATTCCCATTGACCTTTTGCGTGTTAAAGACTGGGGCATTGTCCGTGCGTAATATGTCGACGGGGTTAAAATTCTGCATTAAATATCTTGATATTACGGCTACCTACAATTATGTTCTCATAGAGATATAACTTTTTGGATGTAACTAATATTGCATAAATGTGTGAAAAAGGATAAACAAATCTATTTAGAAAATAAATCACAAAAGGTATTGTTTTGGTGTTATTTTGCTATGGTCTCCAGTAGAGTTATTCCCTTATTGGAGGTCTTCAATTTTAAGCGGAAATCGGCTTTATTATAATATGATTAAACACCTTTAATAAGCTTTCCGCCCACAGGGAACCGTGTCCCTAAAATTTTATGATGAAATTTTAATACGTTAAGTATATAAAGAGATAACCAAATATTTAAATTAATATTAGCTAAATGAATTTGGTATTATCTATAGGTGTCGTTCAGGTATGTGTGTGGGAGAGCGACATAATTAAAGATTTTTATATGATGCAGCTTCTTTGCGAAAATAAGGCGTAAACCTGCGTTTTCTTCATACAATATGTTTAACAACAAAACGAGTACATATCTAATACTTATATAAAATTCTCGTGTCACGGTGTGCGTAATTGAACTACATACTCCGAAACGGCTCGACTAATTTTCGTGAAATTTTATATGCATATTCATTCATCCCCCTAAATGTAAAGTGGACCCTTTAATTTTTATTTTTTTGGACATTTTTTTTTGTTTTTATTTTTTTATGATACATCATACAAAAATAGATACAACCCAAAATTTTCACTCTTCTACCACCAAGCATTATTTTTTTATGGCGGTACGAAGTTCGCTGGGACAGCTAGTGAAACTATAAAATTTTAATGGAAAAATTTGAACTCGAACTGCGAAAGTCTATACTTTCGCACAGCGGAACTTATCGAGCTTTGCTTTGCTATCAAAGCTCAAATCTTTATATTTAGCTATGTATAGTGGCTTTGTGACCACAAACTTGTTAAAATTAGTCGGTAAAAAATGAAGGTAAACTCTTTGATTTATTCGTTTGTAGAGCTCGATGGCGCGCATTTCGGTCAGCAATTAACGAAGTAAAACAACTTTCAAACAATTCATCATCATCAGCCTATTAATGTCCCCACTGCTTGGGCACAGGCCTTCCCTATGGATGGAATAGGGAGATTGGGCCATGACCCACCACGCAGGCAAAGTGCGGATTTGTGGGTACTAACGACTGCAGATGCAGCCGGGAAAAACGGCTTAACGTGCCTTCCGTAGCACGGAGGAACTCGAGATAGTAAATTTTTGGTCACTCATCCAATGACCGACCACTGCGAAAGTTGCTTAACTTCAACGATCGTAGCCGAACGCGCTAACCACTTGCGCCATCGAGCTCCTCAATTAAGAAACACTAAACAATTAATAATCTGAAATTCTTCTAAGCTTCAGAAATTCTGAATGCACGTTAAACCGTTGGTCACGGATACATTTGCAATTGTTATCACCCACCAATTCGTACTGGGCCTGTGTTGATTTGTACGTTCTCCTTATTTCATTCATAGGGAAGCTCTGTGTCTCGGCAGTGCGGACATTAATAAGTAAATAATAATAAGCCCGCAGGGCAGCTTTGTGGTGAGCTGCTGGTGAGTGGCGACACGGGTAATCAGAGTGCTCCCGAGAACCAAACAAGACTCTCATCTCAGGCTTCTCGTAGTGGAATCCAAGAGGGTCTGCAGAACTTGGCTTGCAAGGTTGGTTGTTTAGGTTGGAATCGCAAGAATTTTATACTCGCAAGGTGTAAGTGAAGTATGCGTACGACGCGAGTTGGTACGTTGTTTTCATAGTCAGCGGGTACCTAAAAGCGGTGAACAACTCGTACAACCTGTAGTCGAGGATGTTACTCCTCATTGCGGTCATCATAGGGAGTCCATTATTCTCCAGATAGTCACCATCTGCCACCTACTCTGGGGCCTATTTGTTTTTTGGAAAATCAACAGATTTAAATAAAACAGTAAAAAACGTAATTAACAACAAACAACCAATTACAGCGTCTTCACAAATAAAAACACATTACAGCAAGATTAAGCACACTATTAACATAATAATTACAAAAAAATAAGCATTGTACAACTGTGACTGTAACGGCGCGATTACACTTGGTCGTTTGCTCGAATACGAGTGCCAATGGAATTCGGGTAAACGACTAAGTGTAAATGAACGGAGTCGAGTACGCCCGTATTCGGGTAGTTTTCGTTTTGGTTACCCGACACCGTCTTCCAGTGTAAATATTGCTTCGGTTACCCGAATTCGAGGAATGTCTATCGTGCACCCGAATACGGGCTAACGACTATAGGTAATTGAGCCATCAGTTAAAAAATGCACTGCTCAATACCCGCTTCAGTGCCGGAACACTAGTGTGAAACAAATCAATGCCAGTTCGCTTAGATATAACATTAAAGAAAAGAAGCCCTGCCAGAATATCAGCGCTGATACCAGTAAGATATTTCCCCACTGTGTCAGCATAAGCTAAGGCCTTAGTTTTAGTAGTATTCGTAGATGCCGATATATAAATAAAATAATAAGCAAGCAGGTGTCCATAGACTAATACTGTCATACCTGTAGATTCCCTAGTTTCCTGAACACAAGCTGGGGATAGTCTTTGAGTATATCAGCATGATGTGGTCAGAGATTAGATCCAGCATGTGTATAACACACATACTTAGAGTAATATCGTTTAAAATGGAATGTACGTGTTGGATTAATATCCCCACGCAACCTTTAAAGGACCGGGTCACTTCTGACCTGAAAACCCAAAGCGTACAAGTAGATGTATTAATAATAATATCTCTATTTCACATTAAAACATATGAGAAAATAAGAAAAATAGTTTATTATAATAATAATAGGTTATCTATCAATATACCACTTATGTAATTTATATATACATATAATTATATATGTTTGTTTAAAAATATTATTTTCTGTAAATAGTGATAAGCATTCGCTTAAGCAAATCCATTTCTAGTATTAATACTAGAAATAAAAATAAATTAGTTGTACCAATTATTATGCTCCACAAAATCGCGTAGGCGAATGCGTGTACGCTTCTACAATGAAGTCCCTAGCAATATCCAACAATTGAGCGTTATTTTTATTTCTGAAAGTTACGCTTGGGTTTAAACCGTTCCAAACGTTTCTACTGTCTGTTTCTATAATTATCATAAAGATGATATTATGATTTTGTACTGACATCGTAACAATATAATATTTTGTAAAAATCACAGTTAATAAAAGTCCTTAACTGGTGGTAGAAAAAAAATGTGGACGATTCAAAAGAGTTGTATTATGCCTCCAATTTAAATAAAGACATTTTGAATGTTGATAATGATGGCGATGAAAACTTTTTAAGACTTTTTTTTAGTCTAAGGTCACATGTGATGTTTGCCACCGTGATTATGATTAGTCACTAGGCGAGTAGCTGGGTTTTTAGCATCAACCGAGGCTCATTGTAGTACGGCCTTAAAATTTAAGGCCGCGCTGTTTCATCCATAGTTAAATTAGACTTTAATTAACGTCACGTCAAATACATAGCAATTGTATGAAATTTTGAGAAATGGTTTTTTGTCTCTAGTATTTTAACTATAGTCAAATTTAACTATCGATGAAATACGCGACCTGTGATGTAGTGTGGTAAAAAACAGATGATTTTTATTCGAATTGGAGGTATAAAAGGTCTCGCTGTATATTGCCTTATTTGTATTTAATAAAAAAGTCATATAATAAAGCTTACTATGTTTGGATATTTCTTTTAATGTTTTAATATGAATGTGTTGATAAATCCTTCTTTTCCTTAATATATTAATACTACCCACTGACCTCATCTCATCTCATTTGTTTCATTGGATTTCAATTGGATCCAATACACAAATTAAAAAAAAAACATCAATTACTTAGTTTCATTCCGTTTTATCTCGATGAACACGCCTGAATGATACGGACTCGGATAAATATGGGCGACGCCCTACCTACACGAACAAAAATTTACAATTTAAAGTTCAATATTTCTCAGACGGATCGTTAAATTGAAAATAGGTCTTACAAACCCCTCAGTATTTTTAAAGGACCTCTCCAACAGAGGGAGCTACTCTAAAAAAATATATTTTTTTAAAATTTGTTCTACCATTTTGTGGGCATAAATAATATACATATCTCCACAAAATTACATCTCTCTAGTGCCATCAATCTCCAAGCAAAACCGGGGACGGACAGACAGACGGACGTGAATCTCTAAGGGTTCCTTGTAAGGACTACGGAACCCTAAAAATGAGGCACTATTAAGAAGTGGTGACATG